TTACTAAACAAATCACGTCTAACAACAAAGCATTATATTATGAGTCATTAATGCGAGAATTTTTTCGAGCCATTCTAAAATTTTTTTCCCAACCTTATTTCTTATTTCTTATTTACGACACAGTTATCCTTATACTCATTCGCTTACTCCTTACGTTCTTTTTGATCAATGAACAGTCTCATAATGAGACTAAAGTGATATATGAAGTTAAATTGTTTGATAGTTTATTAGCCATTTTTTCATTAAACTTATGGATTACATAATGTTTTGTCGTCATGGTTCCCATTTAAAGCAGATTCACAATGTTTACTTTTACCATTTTAACGATACAAATGGTAAGCTTGTATTTTTTTGGATTAATTTATTAATTTCGCATACAATGTTTAAGAGAACTCTGCGTATGCTCAGAGCACTCGATAGTTGATTGGGCTATGCGAAATCTTAAAATTTATCAAGGATGGGTATTTTATCGATTGATGGATCTTTTGAAAGGGTAAACTGACAGATTTGACCCTCTGAAATATGGTGAACGTGAAGAGTTATGTGAAGATCTTTACATTTATGATCATTGTGATGCTCGGAAGAACCGGATAGGTGACGTTTTATAATCAACAGAGTACATGTACAAATGAGCCAAGTCTTAAATCCAAGAGCTTCGATTGGAGATTAAAAATTTAAACAATTATTAAAGCACAAGCGTACAAGCAATGTTATATTGATATTATATTTGTGATACACACGTACACGAATATAAACAGTTAATTAATAACCGAACTTAAATAAATAAAACAAATGGACAATTTTGTCGAAAATGCAACATTAGGCAACATATCCATGAATCTCTGGGAAACCAGAACCAATTCTTCGAACACCATCTTGCTTCAATGGATATACTTTAATATTTACACGGATATCATGCACCACAAATTCAGTATCTTCACGTTCCAAAAGGAATAACAACGAGTATAAGGCGAATTCGAATTCGGGAGATGTACCGATAAACGAAGTGGAGAACTTTTTGGGGGCTCCTTGGGACGTGAAGCGAATTGGAACTACGTGTTCGTTAGGATTGGGCTAATGAAATAACATAAATAAATGAACGGATGAGTGAATGAATGTAAGTAAAAAAATATGAGTAATAATTTTTATTTACTTTACGATGATCTCCATAGGGAAAAACGTAACCTTCATAATTTATCGTCCCTTTCTGTTCGCAATAATAGAAATTAATCCAGTTGTGAAATGCTATTTGTTTTGTATCATATGGAACAGGTTAGATGAATACACATTAATATCGGAAGTTATATGAATTACCTAAAGCATGTCCTTCTCTTATTTCTCCAAGAAAAACGTGTTCAAATGCACTAGAATCAGCTTTCAACCCTTCTCGTCGATACATATCAAACCAAATCTTGTTGAGAGATTTTTGAAATTCATCTTGGTTATTTTTGATTATCCCTCTCGTTACCAAATACTATATTCAATTATTAATAAATTAATTGGCTCAATCGAGTTCAACAAAGCAATTTTACGACATACGTGAAACACGTATTGCATTGGTGCAGTTTTCATCGACTCCCGAATAAAAGTTCTGTTTTCACGTAATTCTTCCTCATCCACCACCTCAGGAATTCCCGTTTGAGGGATATAGTTATCGAGAATTGCCCAGAATGCCCTGAATGTGGGTCTTTTGAACACTTCAGGATCCACGCTTGCAAACAAGCGTAAGCCTTTTTTTGTAGAAAAATTTAATAAAATTCACGTGTATATAATGATATATAACCATATAAGAAACATTTTTACCATGTTCCTTATGACCATCATGACCATGATGGTCGTCGTGAAAAATTGGTAAATTTATTTCATACTATTTTAATTTATCCTATATTTAGCGTCAGTGAATTCGATAAACATAATTTAATTTTGACATTACTAACGTCACGACCAGGTTCCAATCGATTATGATCCAACTGCCATAGTTTCGTTAATGCAGCTTTGATATTGTGTAGTTCTTGTTCGGTTGGTTTGTTCTGGTGATTTGTAGTCATATTATTATTTGTTATTATAAAAATTTTTCGTATTTTTTCGCTTTTTCGCCCTTCTTTTTATAATTAACATTAGTTCTTTTTGTATATATGGGTATTATAAGAGATACTTTTGTTTGTGTGACTGAAACACACAGAAAGAACAATTTATTTACAAATGTGGATATTTCTTAATAGGAGCTTATTGAACGAATGAATGACATGTACATGTATAGATGTTTTTGTATATGTTATTGTCGCTTCCAAAAAAATAGCATTTTCTTAAAATTGATTATCTCTTCCAAAAAAGATCAACTATAGAATTTTGTCAATTCGAAGTCATGAACAAACAGCATTGCCTATGAAATAATGATGTCATTGTTCTCAAATGACATTCGAATTAAATATATTACCGTTACTAACTAATGGTATATTAATTTCGTTACAGGGACCGGGAAAAACTCAAAATATATTGATTTTAAAAAAATTCATTTTCATTTCTCCAACCACAAAATTATCAAGATATAATTAATATATTTGGATAAATTGTTATTATTAACATTATTTAATCACAAGATAAAACAATAATTTTCTTTGTTATTTGAAATGAAAAAACAAAAAAAGATGACAAGAAATTTTTCAAATCAAGTAATTAAGAATCATTATAATTTTTAATAAACGGTTCTGAATGACGAAGAAAATTTGTGGACATAGGAGTAAACCAATCAAATCGCAAGCTATGAAATATTAATAGCATTTCGGAATGATCCCCCGATAATATGACAATCACGTTGCCCCCGATATTATCGTATTGTCGAGTATCAAGTCTTTCCATTATTAGGATTGATATTGAGATCATTTTCATTAAGAAATTGATCTCACTTTTTGACATTATTTTTTAATTATGCCAGGTGTATTTTTATCTAACGAATCATAATTTTAATAAAAGATGTGAATTT